GCAGGAATGTGGTCAGCTCTGAACAGAGGCTGGGATTTGGGAAAGAGCCATCCTTAGAAGTCTGCTTGTACCTGTGTGAAAACTTGGAAGGCATTAACAGGATGGGTGGGGGGCAGCTGGAAGTGGTAGCACAGATAAATGGATAGACCCTTGATGTTCATTAGGAAGGATCACCTTTAGCTTTGGTCCTTAGGAGTGAATGAAGACCTTACTTGTCTTAAGCCACTTATTTGATCTTGAGAACCTAAGCAAAATGATGCTTCTAGTATGCTGTTAGTGAGTGAGTTTCACACTCACCTGTGTACAAAATCCTGTGCCTTGGGACAGCAGAGGTGTGAAGAGACCTGCACGTTTCTGTGGAGTTTTATCAAATGAGTGGAAGCTCCTTGCAGAAACAAAAAGTCTGATTACTCATGGGTCTAATGGATCCATTATCTAAAAAAATAGTTTTCTTTTCCCTCCCATGAAGTACAAAAGCTGTATTTGCTGTTGGGTAGTTACAGTCATAGCAACCATCACAACGTGAAATCTGGGGAAGGGAGGAATCATAACCTCAATGGAGCTACTCTGGCATTACAGTAATAGGTGGATGCTGTGTGCAGTATATGCTCCACATGTGCACATGACAAGGAAGTGATTAACAGAATGCTTGGAAACCTGTTATGATTGCTTAACCTACGTAATTTTTTTCAACCTATGTACTCTTTTATGCTTAGAAGTGGTGAAACATAGAGTGAACTCAGATTTCATTGTTGTAGGTTAAATTAAAGTTGTAGTGATTTCTGTGGAGCTGGTTAGCTACCCTAGTGGGGAAAAATCTTGTTTCCTTTTTTGTCCTAAATGAAAGCCTGAGTCTGTGCTTTTGTGCTTTCTCTACAGCAGATAAGGACTGTGTTACCCTGAGTACAGCTCTGTTTTTCAGATTGTTCCCCTGACAACTATGAAATGTCATGACAGATGGGCATAGTTAAGCTTACTCATTTCTTGGGCATAAGAAATGTTCCCAGAGTCCACCTCCTGGGCTAGGTGATTCTGGGAGGCAGGGGTTCTTGTTCCCTTTGGATGTGACCTAGTCATATGTTTTGTCTCATTTATGCATCCTGTTGCATGTAGATTGGTGTTCAAGTCTTTGGTTCTATTTTCATGCACCTGTATCACAGCAAGATAATAGTACTGACTTCTGTAAGATATATTGCAGATTTGTTTGCTAAGTAATTCAAATTCATTGCATTAAAAATGTTGGCTGTCTTCACAAAAGAGATTCCAAGCTTGCAGGTGACTCAAGCTGTGTCTATATAAAAAAGGTTTTAGCATAAATTGCAAGCAAGGTTGGCTATTTTAATTTTGCTTTTACATACCATGCTGCAGTTGTTCTGCTTCTAGACACTATTAATTCTGTGCTTAGAAGTTATGCCATTGTAAGGTTTGTTTCAAATACAAATCAAATCTGTTTTGATCTATTTTGCTTTTTAAGAAGTTTTTTAACTGCTCACTATTAGTTTATCAGTGAGCTGAATCATTTACACAAAGGGACAATTTTAAATTTGTAGCACAAATATAAATGCATCTGATGTGTTGAAATAGTAGCAAGCTCACTCACTCCATGTGCACTGAAAATATCAAATGGTTCTATGGATCTGTGTTATCATGTCAAGAACGAGTCCCTGCTTCTTCTGAGTGAGCATGTCACCATTTCTTCTGGGGAGTCTCATTTTCCTGTGATCAGTCTCCACCAGAAGCTGGCATGCTTCCCAAGATGCATGCCACTGGCACTGTAGTTTCAGGATGTAGAAGCAGCATGACTGATCAACACCTCAGTCAAAAGCAATTTCCTCATGACTTAGAGTAAGGGAGGGATTTCTCTCTGAACCAAATGCAAATATAAGTATGTAATCCATGTAACAGAATTCCCCTGAAAAGTCATGATCTCTGTGATTTTACATGCTAAGCCAGCTCTACCAGGGTGACTTAGCTCCAGCTAGACTATTCTAAACTAAATGAGGTTGTTTCTTAATAGTTTTAGAACTGTATTACATCTAGCCCATGGATTTGAGTTTTATCAATAAATACAGGGTATCAGAATGGTTCTTTGGACATTGTAGGATCTGGTAGAAGACTCTCACCAAGGAATTGAGGCCCTGAGCAAGATTTGCATGGAGAATTATAGGCTGCTGTTTAAGTGCTGCTGAACCTTTGGTAACTTTCAGGTGGACATAAGGTTCTGTACATTTCTTCTGATGAGCTTGGATGCAGAGCCATACAAGCAAATACTATGGTATGCCTCAGAAGGATTTAGAAGGAAAACTTTTCACCAAGTTCTCTTGCTCATTTGTACTCAGACACTCCCTGAACACATCGGTTTGTTGGGCTGCAGACACTGCAGAGATCACAAACATAATTTTCCCTCATACTCAAGAACTCAGCAATTAGAGAATGCTCCTATTGATGAGGTTTAAGGAGAATCAGCTTGCTTTTTTTGCCTTATGACTTACCTTAGAACAGTAACTTGTTGAGAGAAACAAGAGTTCTTCAGGTCAGAATTGAGATGAAAGCTTTACTTTTAAAAGTCAAGCATTTCTGAAGTAAGTCATACAGAGTGCCTGTCTGCTGCAAAGAAAATATGTCCATACTGGAAGGCAAGACTTGGGCTTTGCTAGCATTAAACTAGAGCTGGAGAAACAGAAAAACTATTCTTAGAACACCAGTGAGAGGAAATACAGACAACACTTTAAATTCCACTGTAAACTTGTCTGAGTTCCTAAGCGTAGTGCTAAATCATTATATTTCCCACACTGTTCATGCTTTGCATTATCAGAGGCTGTTTGGGGTCTGGTTGCATTATAATTTAATAAGTAAACAAGTAAAGACATGTGACTTAGATACTTTAATAAACTATGTCCAGAAAGCATGGATGCCTAAATAAGGCTGTATAGCTTTCTGTCTAGTTGAATTACAGAATACTGACCTGATCACACTTGTTATGTTGATAAAAGTTGTGCTTTTGCTGAGGCAGTGGGCTCCTCCACCAGTTTTAAGTTGATTAGGGAAATAAAACCTGGTTGCACTTCTGTCAAGAAGCCAGCTGGATGTCACTATGATAAGGTTCTGGGCTTGTTTCTTACAGGATATTTTGAGGCATCTTAACTTGCTCTTTTTGAAACTATTGATTCACTATGAAATACTTAAGCTTTTGGTTGTTCAGGGAGACAGCAAAATGAGTCTATGTCCCTGACTACTGGGACAGCTCTGTTCCAGGCCTGAAGGGGGACTAGATATAAGGGGAAGTGCTTGCTTCATGGATATGGGTCCTGTTTAAGTCTACTTTTAATTTTTTTTTCTTCAAGAACTCATTTGTCAGTGCTAGACAAGAATTTATATCTATGAATCCTCAGCAGCACCTCCTTTCTGCATACCTAGCCACTCTTCAGGAGTCATGTTTCTTACTGGCTTTGGTAGCTCCCACTCAGTACACTGGCTTCCTGGATCCTTTTCCTGGGCACTGTATGGAAAGGAGCCCAAACTCCCAAATGCCAAAGAATGGACAGCATGACACTGTTCATTAGAACAATGTGGGAACAAGGCACTTCCCAACACTAGGGAATTAAGTTACATCAAGTTGCACTTGTCATTTATCTTGTTTTCCAGCAGGGTTGAGATGCACAAGTGCAAATATTGATTCAGAGTGACATTTTCTACTCAGACTAGAAGTTTATACTATATTATAGGAATGCCAATTATTTTCCACGAGAAACAAGAAGAAATTAAACTGTTATATTGACTTCTGGTGCTCTAGCTGCTAATTTTGCATTAGATAAAACAACATGAAGAGTAAGTGCAGAGTGACCAGTGTGCTACATGTTTGTTTGTTTTTAATTTAGATCTTTTGGTGTATTTTTTGCAGGTCTATATGTGTCATTAAAAATAAGGCCTCAATAGACTGTGAGAAATCATCCAGCTGACATTGCTGACCCAACACAGACTCACCTGTCAGGAATAGTTTAGATCTTTAGATAAGCATCCCTGTGAATCTCCAGTGGTAGAGAGTTTTCAGCCTCTGTAAGTTGTGTTTCACTGCTCATCTATTCCAACAATCAGAATGATTTTCTTTATGTTGAAATTTCTCCTATTGCAATTTCAAGCTTGTTACTTGTCCCATCGAGCAGAGGAAGACTTCTTTCCTCTGTGTGCAGTTTTTCTTTATGGTCCTTCCTAGCCTACATAACCCTGATTCTTTAATGAATTTTATCAGAAGACTGAAAGACATCTACTACATTCACATTAGTCTAAATTGTTCTTGAAGTACAGTATTTAAATTGGATACAGTATTCCACCTAGAAGCTTGTATTGCTCTAACATAAAATAAAGATTCAGTATCTGTAGATAATTGCTTACCTTTAAAGTAAAACCATAGCCACAACTGTTACTCTAATTTTAACAGTTCAGTCAGATTATAAGATATGGAAACTAATAGACAAGTTGATTGTCAGATTAAAATGGAAATGCCCAGAGCACTGCTACATTTTCATCACTTGTAAACACACTTCTCTTTGCTTTGTTACAGAGCTACTCTGAGAGCAATATTCCCTCTTATTTTCCTGAAAACACTGCACCTTTTATGTTAGCATTCTTTGCCAGGTGAACAGTGACATCCCAAGATCTCAAAGTTATTTGTGCCGCTCACCATGATTCTTTTACAGCATAACCAGGACTGTGCCTCCCTGCCATGTTTTATCTGCACAGTTAAACATAAGTGGTTTATTTTATAGTTTGCCTAAGTATATGTAGTACAGTTACTGGCACATGGCAAATAACTGTGAAAGAAGGTTATCAAAACCAAGAGTAAGAAAAAAGCTGCACAAGCAAGTATATTATTATAAGTTGATACATTTTGATACAAGAAAAAGATCTCAATTGTTATTATTTCATAAGAAGCTCTCCTTGTGTAAAAAATGTTATGCACAGTTTAGCTGTCTTTCCAACCATACCACATTGCATCGAAAGCATGTAATTCCCTTGCTCTTTACAAAGAACTCTATGTGAAAGCAAGGATTTATAAACACGCTAGTATTGGTGAACCCTTTATATTAATGCAGAAGCTTCCCTGGACCAGCATCTTCAAATGATACAGGCCTCACACAATTTCTGCTATGTTGAAATTCAAATATCTGCAATGGACTCTCAGAAGACTGTTGAAATCACAGATACAAGGTGCTTGAATTTTTTTTAATTACTTCCTGCCTTACAAAGAACTAAATCTCCAGTTAAATCTTAGCATTAAGATGAGCTCCTTAGGCACAAACATCTCTTTCCTACATATAACTAGAGAGAGGAGCACAGCAGACCATTTTCTTGTTAATTTAATTTTAGGATAAAAAAAAATTTCATCCTTAGACTCCTTAGCTTCTGAAGAGTGAAAAAAGCTGTGATGTGATCTGCATGTTTTATGGAGCTGGAGTTTTATAGTTGGTTTTAGTCACATGTAAGTGATGGCAATATTTGTCATTATGCCTTCAAAATAGGTCCTTTGATGCACTTTAATGTAATTTTTATATTTTTCAACATATGCCACACTGATGCGTATAAATTTATCAGTAAAGGGTTTTTGTGCTTAGGTCTAACGTTTAGCAAGCAGGACTAACTGCATTGTTCAGAAGAAGTGCTGGAATGCAGAAAAAATTTTAAAGGTTACTACATTATCAACTGTATTGGTCTTCCTCTACAGTACCAGCTTCTAATGAGAAAGTGTTCTATGCTAATTGAAGAAGGCCTCAGAACTATTAAAGAGAATACTGCTGACCCATAGCAGGCAAACTTATTTCATCTATAATACATAAAAGAACAGAATTTCCTTTTGCAGAAACTATGCCAAGTATGCAAGTGGGAATACAGCACTAGCTGATTAATGTGCTGTTAAAAGACAACTTAAAATTCCAAAAGTAGTGCCATTAGAGATAAAAATTATTAGGCTGCAGTGACAAGCACAGTTACCTTGAATTTTAAGAATGTTTAGAAAGACAGGTGTGAAATTAAGACAGTTTCCCTCATAGCAAAACCTTGAGATTCTGAAACAATTTCTGTTTTACTCCTTAAGTTCATCATTCTTGGTCAGACCCAAAAGGTATGCTTTTACTGTTCTCTTTTTAAATAGTGCAAAAAAATAAGTCTAAAATAAAAAATTAATTTCAAACATAAAATGCAGTAGCTTTTTTTTCAGAAAAAATGTCAGGTAAAATACTTGAGACCAAATAAATTACTGTAATGTTTTTGTGCAACTGAATTATAATACAGTAGTCCTTTAAATAACCTTAAGAAAAAAGCTCTAAAAGATCTTTTGCTTTTGTAGAAGAGCATATTGACAGTGTGTATAAAGCAAATATAATAACTCCATTTCTACCTCAAGCTGTACAGAAGTCAATATGTGCTAGTAATTCTCTATGCTGGCTTGTTGGATACTGCTCTTTACATTTAGGACACTCAAGAAAACTTTCATCAAGAAGGCTTGAATGTTTCGGGGAAGGACTTCTGTCATAAATGGTCAGCTTCTCTTCAAACACAGGTTGTATATCTTCTTGTGGTACCACATGTCCAGATTCCTGGAGTTTCTAGAAAAGTGGAAGCTTTAGTGTAAGATTGGGGCACGTGTGTACTGATTAAATACTATAACAAAAAATATTAAGCTTTGATGGCAAACAAGCCTTGTGTGCATTATAGCTCTAAGAGAAGAGTTTTGAAGATGGCTAAATGCAGATACAGATTCATGTTAATAACAGGGCCTGTTGGACAATTCTTACACCACATTTAAATTTTCTGCAGACTATTTGAGACAGGTTTCCCCACAATGTCTGACTGGGAATTCTTCTCCAGCTATCTTCCTAGCTACTCACACATTGTCTTTCCTTAACAACATGATGCCTCCAGTCACCTCTATTTAGGATGCTGCCTTGTTATGTTCCCAAAAACTCTACACTAATTTTCTCTTCTCCTGCAGATCCCATAAGCTCCCGTGTGTGAAGGCTGTCTGTTACTGTAAAATGCACTTGGCTGTCTATTTGACAGCTACTCCTCTGGCTTCTTAGCACCTAATCTTACAAGATTCCATATTGTAGAGTTCCAGAAGGACCAACAGGCAGAATGCATTTCTGCTCAAGATTAGGGCAATCTCAGGTACGACAGAGCAATGACTTGTTTAATACTTTCCCTATTAATTTCTCCATTAAGTCTACAGCTCAAATGTAGGTGGCCTTCTTTGGGCTTATGCAGTAAAGAGCAAACAGGTCATGGTCCTCACAATACAAATGTCCTTTTTCATTGTAGTAGGAAGCTTGTCTTTTTGGAAATGAAAAAAACTCAGATTTAAACGACCCATCCATCCTGTCTCAGAGAAATTCAGCCTCTATATTTAAGGCTTGTGTCCTGTTCTCTAGCAGTAAGTTTCAGTAGCAGCATACTGTTGCAAGACTAGATACACATTGTGATATAAAATAGAGTTATGTACCCTGCTCAAGAACCTGACTGTTCTGGATCTCCTGGATCTCAGTGCATGCTGTAGAGGAAAGTGATGCCTAGCTAACTGACATGGGGTTCTGCACCTTAGGGCTACATACCTAAAGGATCTAAGAGCCTATAGTGAATATCTGATGACATTGAAGACCCATGACACTTGAAATAAGATCCCAAAGTTAAAAAGTGTACATTTATGCAAAATTCCTGACTAAATTTAACTGCAGGCCATACAGTACATACCAGAGGGTGCAGACGGGTTATTTGCTCCCTGGCCTTGCGCAATTCCTTATGTACTTTGTTTAACTGATGCTGCAATTTCTGGTGGTCAAGCTTTTCATTCTCCAAGTCTGTGGTGCATATCTGGACCTGGCAACCCCCCAGAAGTGAAAAGCAAAGAATAAAGTCAGAATGATTAAGATTTGTGGGGAGGGGTATTAAGGAAGAGATAAATGTTTCCCCTTTATATATTTAAAATAAGTTTTACTCTGCTATCATATAATAAAATGGGATTTTAAATACATATACATTACTTGCTGCTTTCAACTACAGTGAAATTCATATATGACCAATTATGAAAATCTTCTCCCTTAGTAGAGGTGAAGATTGAAGTTATTTGGTTGGAGATTATTTCAAGCTGTCTTGCAGTCTTAAACTGAACATTTCATAGAAAAGCATATAGTGCAAGTTCTCATTAAAAAGTTTCTACTCCAGGATCATTCTTATAGCAAGACAGTTTGGACAGAAACTATAGGTAACACTGCACACCCAAGCTTAGCAAATAAAATGCCTTTTCTTTCCCCAGTGACAAATTAAATCTGTATGGAAAAAATAAAGATTGAAAAGATGACACTGCAATTATTTGTATAATTTTATGAAGAGTATATTAAAAAACTTCAATAAGCTGGTTGGTTTTAGGATGTTTGCTGTACCAGTTGAGACTGTACAGTTGAACAAGGGATTGTGGAAAAAATATCATCAGGTTTGATTACACCCTCTTACACAATGTGTAAGATTACACATCTTACACATTTTCCTCTTGACAGATACATAAAAACTTCTAGAAGCTTTTAGAAGCATCAAGAGTTTATTCACTGTTGAGCATTCATGTCTAGTAATACTTTATGTAATATATTATTCTTAAATTTGAAAAGTTAGCCTAGAAAGCCTTTGTGCGTAACACAGATTAAGTACCAGCATCTTAGCATATAATTCAGTACCTGTTGTTCCAACAAAGCTATCCTAGCATGTTCTTGATGTTTGAGCAACAATTTACGAAGAAGTTGCAGCTACAAGGCAGAAAAACATTTGGAATAAAGAACTTCCTTATACAACAGTTAATAAGCTCAACAAATAACAAATCTAAAAGGGAAGGAAGTAAACTTTTCTATTCCAATGCCCAGAGAAAAATGTATGCCTGTTATGCAACAGCCAAACCCAATCTGAATATCTCTACTGCTCTGGGGAAAACCCCAGTGAAACATTATCATTGCATTGAGCAGGGGGAATGCAGGAAGATGTTATAGTTCAAAAAAATCAAACTAAACTTTCCTAGGTATTTACTAGGATGCAGACAAAAATATAAAACCAAAACTTACATTTGCGTTAACATCCTATGATGTTAAAAAAACATTTACTATTACCTTGAGGATGAACTAGATTAGAACCAATTAAATATTCTCTCACTATCCCTCTTGTATCCCACAAAACCGGGGAAATAAGTGAAAAAGTAAGTTGCGTTTAATCAGATTTCACAAAACTATTGGTTTGAATGAGAACCCAAAGAAATAACTTCGTTTTAACCACAAGGATATGAGTTTATATGTAGAAAGTAGTTACCAGAGCAAGTGAGTGTTGGCCCATTCTGATTAACTAAAAATTTTCAGCTCTATTATTTGCTAATGATCTTGAACATCAAATCCATCCACTTACTTGACATAAAAGATCTTCAGACTTTTTCATTTCTTCTCTGAGCTGTCCTTTAATAGCTTCATTTTCTTGTTTCAGTCTCTGTACTTTCTCTCTAATTTTATTTTCATTTTCTAGATTCTTCATTTCAGCAACCTGTTGTGACTGCAATAAGGCATTTAAACTCATTATTTCTTGTTGCGTTTCTTCATACTTCTTTTTTAATTCTGTAAGTTCAGATCTCAACTGTGTTACAGTGTTTCTTTCAGTCGTGAGATCACTTTCAGCAGTTAGTAACAGCTGGTCATAATATTTTTGCTTTTCTTCTTGTAGATAACCTTAATGAGTCAGAAATAATTGAGATAGTTACAGAGGGAAATAACTTAAAAATCAGAACACCAAATCCTTCACAGCATTTTAAGACATACTCGCAGAAATATTCTAGGCTACTACACAGCTCAGATTGACACTCAACTTTAAAACAGCTTTCAATAATACAGTAATGTCTCCTTCCCAACGTAGTTACCTGGAAAACTGCAACTTGGCTTGCATGCAGCATTCTGTGCTACAGCCACTTCCTTCACTAACCATTACAGCAATGTTACATTCTTTGCAATGACTTCACAAGCTCCATGTTCCACACACAGCTCTTATATGGCCTCATGCATTATCCTAATGCACAGGAATCAAGGCCCAAAGACACTAGAGTCTTACTTCCAGACTTAGACTCCTTAGCCAAGGTTCTGGCATTACTCTCTCCCCAGAGATACATTGGGACCTGATGGGCCCTACTTCACCATTGTTAACTAAAGCCAGACTATCCATTGCCTTTTGCAGAATATATTCTTAAATTATATGCTATCATTTACTTCTAAATTGCAAATAAAAGGGATTAGAATAGAGTTTTTTTAAACAAAAAATGCCTGCTTCTTGGCTAGTGACTGTTAATTAAACCAGCATTTGAAAAACCTCTGCTTGTTGATCCTAGAAAAGTTTGGTAGGGAGGAAGACAAAAAAGGAGGCAGTCTGTAGAAATTCAGTAGTGATAAAAAAATAGACCCAAAAGCAGAACAAGGAATGCATGATTTCACAGGCTTTGCTGGTTTTTGGCACTGTAAATATGTTGACTTTGTACATTTCCTATTGAAGGCTTCCCCTCATTCTTCAAAGTGTCCTTTAGTGGGGAAAATTCTTGCTTAACCATTCTTCCTCCCCTCAACTATGAGCTAAACCTTACCTTCTCATTAGCAATACTCCTTTGTAGGCTGATGAGTTCTGCAGAGATATGCCAAGTTTTTCCTTGGAAAAAGCAGTCATGTCTACTTTCAACTTCTATAGCTAGAAACTTGGATTTCAGCTGCTGTCTAGCTGCTCAAGGAGGGAAACTTTCTTATACCCTTAATCCTAGTCTCCTGGCTGCTCTGACAACAAAGCTTTGACTGCGGAAACTCATGATTTACATCTGGTGAGCTACTTCAGTCTGCCTCCCTCTCAGATGCTGTTCAGAGATTTCTGAACAGTACCAAAACAAAATTGCTATTTTTTTACTCTTTTGCATAAAGATTCAAGCAGTAATATAAAAACCAAGCCACTGCACATTAGTGTGTGGTATCTGTGGGCATACTCCTTCTCCTCCAGCTGATGTTAGTTCTCTTTAGTGAATTTGCCTTGCAAGTCAGTTGCAGCACATGTGAAATCAATACTTTGATAATAAGAAAAGCAAACCAACTTCTTCTGGTTCTTCTGTTCAACATGATTTTAATTTCATCCCACACGGAAGTGAGCTAAAGGTGGCCAGATCCATATTGCGAAACCCTGGTTTGGATAGCTGCCAAAACCTACCAGAGGTTTTCATGCTGTGTAAGAATTGTTCAGGTGAGTAAAGAACATGGCAGTCTTGAGTCATTTTTATAATATTTATTTTGAAAATATAAAAGTAAAAAACCTGATCCACACCTGGTTAATAAATCCTTAATACTTCTGTTATCTAGGTTGAAAGTGTACTTTGAAGGATGGGAGACATACCTATATTTGCCTCAACACTTTCCACAAACAGAGAGGTTGCTAATAGAGTGTCAAGGCTTCCTCTTTGAAGAAGATAAGAACATGAACTACTGTCAATCAAGTAATGTAGCTACATAAAAAGAAGCAAAGAAATTATACTTAACCAGCTATACTTGTAGGAAACCAAAATGTTGAGAAGAAAGTCTTGATTTTGTTTAGTTGTGCTACAATATTTTTTAAAAAAAACTTACTTTATAGATAATTATGGTTTTGGTCACCTGTGGGGAAAAAAAGTTGATACCTTCCAAATTGAATTCTTTAGATTCTTGTTGGCTAACTATTCCTGACTTCTGCTGAAGTTCAAATATCATTCCAAGCAGTCCCCTGACATATGCTTCACGTTGCTGGTCATACAGTAGCCACTGTTGGTTCTTCTCAAGAGCCTTAATGAAAAGGAACATTAGAACCACAAAAAAATCTCTGGCAATTTATCAGATATTAAAAGTATTCGTTGTCTCAAAAATGTTAAAAAAAATTTTATACAGTTTAAAGCTAGTTAATGCTGCTACAATTTGTAGTAATCTCTGTATAACAACAGCAATCTTAATTTAGAAGGATAAATTACACTGCTGAGCATAAATTAAAATTGCAGCAATATTATACATTGATTGGCTTATTTTATGGAATGGAAAAATTACTTAAAAACAAAGGCTTTCATGAGTCATGCCCAGATAATGCAGAATTAACCTTTCAATCTCAAATAGGAGACATAAGGTAATACATCTTGAAAATGAAATAAACTAAAACTATCATTGCAACTAGAAGTTTGTAAGAACAAGGACATGGATTTTATATCTGATTGGATCAGATTATTCAGGTTGGAAGGGACCTCAAAACGTTTCTAATCCACCTCATGCTATCCCAGGCAGCGTCAGCACTGAGGTCAGACCAGGTCACTTGGGGCCACTGTTTTGTCAGCAACCACTTCATTCTGATGTTCCAAGCAAAGCTTTTCAGAGGTTGGAAATATTTTTAATTTAAATTGTTGTCTTGTCACAAAATAATTTTAGATACTATGTTTTAGAGGTAAGCATACCCTCTGAGTTCCCATACTACCCAAAAATGTATATATTTATAATCACAATTTGTACTTGCAACATTGTACATGAAGCTTACATCTTTCAGTTGTTTTTCAACTTCATGAAGATTAGTTGGTGATCCAGTACTGTTTGCAACAGCTTCCTGCAGAGAAAGAACCTGTTAATTGTTCTTGACAAATAGATGGCAGAAACAATGACACTACTCCTGTATAACTGTTAATCTCACATAAATAGCATATGGATATTTAAAAAAGGGAAAACAGATGCACAAATCTTTAAAGATCTTTGTAGTGTTTCTTGCTCATTCTGGTTGTTTTAAAGTGATCTAATTTATGTAGAAAACCATTTCTTAGATTTAAAATAAAATCTCCTGGAAGATACAGGATGAAGATTTACAATTCATTTATTGTATAACTCTGCAACTCATATTAAAACAGTTCCTAAGAGTATAATTTTTCTTCTGCTGAATTGCTATATTGAAAAAGCTGAAGGGGGCAGGAGAGCTTCTGAAAAATGAAGATATTTAGGGTATTATTTAAATACACAAAAAAGGTAAATATTCTGGTTTTGTATCCTTGCATGTTTTACAATAAGCTAAACCTATAGGAGTTGTTGGGGAAAGCTAGAGACCTTGAAAAGCTAGCTTCATTGGGATAACAGGAAGATTATACACATCTAGGAAACCATGCAAGCCTGTCTAGAACAATAAAGACACAGACACTGGTTTTCTGAGACCTGATCTACAGTAGAGTGCTTAAAGTATGAGTTGGAGAATTCTGTAGACCTATCCAAAACTAAACAGTTAAACAGTTATACTTCTTTCATAAGCTGATCTGTTTATTCCCTGCATGATAGGAAGCTTTTTGAAATTGTGTTGATATAAATCAGAAGGGACTTAAAAGAAATAAGAACACAGATTACTACCCAAATCCAAGCTATATTTTCCCAAAGTTTTCCTGTGTTTCTTGGAACATGATTTAGAACAAGGTTTATAGCTGAAAAAAGTACAGGATATCTTCAAATGCAATTATTAAACTTTAGCACTTCCTAATGAAAATAGGATTTAGAGACACTAAAAGTGCTCAGATTCCTTTTCTATAAGCAGAGCTCTGTCTCAGTGAAAACTCTCAGAATTGTTTTATACAACTGTTGTTTCAATTTCAGGGTATATCTGCTGCTGATACGCCACCTAGCAGTTTCAGGCAGCATTGCTAGTCTTGTTTTCAAGTTTTCCAAGACAGCCAGTCAAAACATCAATCATTTTCCTTTATTAATACATCAGTAAAAAATTTAAAAGAAAATTCTGATTTTAAACTGAAGGATATTTTGGTAGTTCACCAACAAGAATATCATGGAAATCTCTTGAATTAACATACATTTTAAATTCTCTAACAAAGTTCAAAGTCTCTTGAAATTGTACATGCATTGTATTTAAAGCAGTATTTCCCAAGATACTGCATTATTAGAAATGATACATAAATGGATTATTATTAAACATTAGTCGGTAGGGATATTCTCCTCTATATTTGTCTACTTCTAGAAAATACTCAACTTCCCTGTAGAGCCTGGGCAACCAGCACCATCTGCAGGTCAAAAACTGGACAAAATGTACAGACACCAATTACCAGGTGCTACTTAGTGAGGAACTACTGCATTTTCCATTAAAAATAACTGTAGAAAACTAAATGCACTTGTAAAACTTGCCAAGTACCTGGCATCATACCTATTAACCATTTTAAATGGGAGAAGTAACTCATTATTCAGGCAACTAGTTTGAACAGCCGAGGAGGAAACGAGGATTTATAGCAGCATGAAGATATATGATAATAGTTTGAGTTGCAAGGAATCTTTAAAGGTCATCTAGTCCAAACCACATGCAATAAGCAGGCACACCTTCAACTAAATCAAGTTGCTCAGAGTCTTGTCCAACCTGACACTGAATGTTTCCAGGGATGGGCATCCAGCCCCAATCTGGGCAACTGTGCCAGTGTTTCACTATCTTCATTGTAAACAATTTCTTCCTTATATCTCATCTAGTCTAAATTTATCCTCTTTCAGTTTAAAGCCATCATGCCTTGTCCTATTGCTACAGTCCCTGCTAAAACGTTTGCCCCCATCTTTTTTATAAGCCCCTTTTAGGCACTGAAAGGCCACCATGTCTTCCCAGAGCCTCCTCTTCTCCAGGCTGAACAACCACAACTGTCTCAGGTTTTCCTCATAGCAGATGCATTCCATCCCTCTGCTAATTTTTGTGGGCTCCTCTGGATCCACTCTTAACAGATCCATGCCTGTCTTGTGTTGAGGAGTAACCAGAGCTTAACACCCCCACAGTACTTCAGGGGGGGTCTCACCAGAGGGGCAGAATCACTTTCTCCACCTCCTGGGCACACTTCTTTTGATGCAGCTCAGGATATGGTTGGCTTTCTAGGCTGCAAGAACACACTGCTAGCTCATCTCCAGCTTTTCATACACCAGCACTTCAAGTCCTTCTCAGGGCTGCTCACAACTCTTTCATCTCCCAACCTGTATCAATAGTGGGGGTTGCCCCAGCCTACATGCAGGTCCTTGAACTTGACCTTATTGAACCTCATGAAGGTCACACAGGCCTACTTGAAGCTTGTCCAGGTTTGTCTGGATGGCATCTTGTCCCTTAGACATGTCAGCTGCACCACTCAGCTTGGTGTCATCTGCAAAGTTAATGAGGGTGCACTTGATCCCCTTATGTCATTGATGAAGATACTAAACAGTACTGGTCCCAGGACAGACCACAGACCTCTGAGGGATACCCCTTGTCATCAGTCTCCATCTGGACATTGAGCTGTTGATCATTATCTATTGTTGGATGTGACCATCCTGTTTTGTAACAGATAAGGTGCTTATTGGGTACAAATTCCAAGTCTAACCTGTAAAGAAGTTAAAGTTGGTATCTGCAATTATCACATTCCTTCAGTGCTTACCTGCGATGCCTGAAAAGCACCAGTTCTGTTTTCAAGCTCAGAACATTTTGCAGTAACTGTGGATAAATTACATTTTAACTGACTCATTTCTTCCAATAGAGAACGAAGCAACTGTTCTCTCCTTTCTGCTTCTTTTGTTTTTTCCTCTAATTGATGTTGTAATGAGGAGACTTCACCATCCTTGGGGTTGGTTCTAAGCTTGTCTTTCAGGCTTTGGATTTCTTTGTCTTTCTCTCCAAGAAGATGGTTGTATTTCTCTTTTTCTTTTTCAAATGAAAGTATTTTCTACATTAAATGGAATATGAAAGTGACACAAGTGTCAGTCTATGCAACAAATGCATTAGCAAGTTTTGCAACAGTTTGAGAGGATACTCACTTTGAAATATTTTCTCTCAGCCTTTAATTAGCTGAGAATATTATTTTTTACTCAAAACAGACAATAATATAATGATCATCACAATGCTACAGTGATCACTTGAAATATTTCAAGTGATAGCAAAAACAGTCCAAAGTAGGTGAAACAGAGCCACATTTTACAGAATTGGTAGCTACTCAGCTTTGCACATTAATACAGATCACTACATTGGATGAATCTTCAGACACAAACAATACAAGAACTCTGGAACCCTTCTAGCAAAGAGGCTGGTGACACATTTCTTAGTGTTGGTTAGCATATTTACTAGCTTTTCAGAAGTAGCAGAGCCCTCTTGCAAAGTAAATGGCAAGAAGTGAAGTTACAAAAGAGTTCTTATAAAGCATTCAGAAGAATCCTGTTTTCCAAATTATCTGGCCTTTTATTTTCAAAATGTGCTTTAATAGACATTACCAATAAGCACTCTCTTTTCAGTAGGCTTCTGGGACAGGTAATTATTACATAACATTGCTTCTGCATTTGAGATACCTTGAGGCTCTATGGAAAGTTCTGTTATGAGAGCATTTCCTTTTACATGAGAAAGGTTGCTGTTGAAATCATACAAGTTCACATCAAGTCATTAGCAGATGACAGAGAAACTGAAAGAAATCGAATTTCAAAAAGTGTCATTTGGAGAGTGGTTGGAGACCACCCAGCACTCACTAGAATTAAAATATTGACATCAGACAGTACTGAGTATCTCTAAACAACCCTGGTGAATTTCTACCTGTAAACTAGGAACCTCACATTAACAGTATAAGAGCTGTCTAGGGAAAACTGGTGCTTGGGTCAGCACTTCTCAACTGATACTGTAGAACAGACATAAAAAGCCTTATTGTAGAGAAGCAGGCTAGAAATGTTAGTGTACCTAGACTATTAGTTGTAGCTTTGAAAAAGGCCATTTAAAGTTTCCCCACCCTTCTATGAAGCCTGACAGTATGCACTTTGGTCACTAGCTAAGTCCTGAACTTCTTTTCTCTACAACAACTTATCTACCTTGAACGGACTGCAAGGAATGGAAATTGGGTTCTGTTCTTTGATTGTATAGAAAGAATAATGCAATGAATTGATTGCAGTTGTGCTTACCTATAGCTGAGTGGAAGCTTGATGATACATTTCAAACAAACACTCAGCACTTCCTAGGGTGCTCTCAGGCAACTGTCAACACAATGTTCTTTGCAGAAATGCTCAAAATAATTACCTGGGACCAAATGTTCTGAGCAGTTAAACATGTGAAGATAGTTCATAATGGACTAACTGGCACTGCTGTCCTCACAGCTTTATATTTAACAGCTTTGACCAATGATCGTAATTTGATTGGTTCAGTCATCAAAAATATTTTAAAACAAAAGCGTCAAACAAAAAACTTTGCTTACTTTGATGTCACTGTTTAAGAGGAAAGGTTGACATCCTGCTTACAAAGTCGGACACACTCCAACTCACATTAACTGTCCTGTCGACAGGACGGTCCCGATGCTAACAGGGCATCACACACGCTGTCTCGAGCACAAACACCCTCCTCACCTCCAGGAGCCCCTTCCTTTCCGGATCAGTCATTTTGCTCTTCCCTTTCAGGGCTTCCTCCAGCGATTTCTTCAGCGCAGCGTTCTCCCCCTTACACTTCTCCAGTTCATTCTCCGACCTGGAGGAACCCGCCTTCAGGCCCCACTTGCCAATAATCATCTCCTTGGCGCTCCTGGAGCTCATCGTTAAGCGCCCACAGAACAGAACTCAGACGCCACGCACAGCGGCCCCTCCCGCCGGGCAGGGCAGGGCAGGGCGCGGCCGCGGGCACAGAGTGAGCCC